GTGTGTGAGTGCGAGTGCGTGTCTCACCAGAGCGGTGATGCTGTCCTCTGTGATGCTATGATGCAGCTGCAGCAGATCCTCCACTAGCGGACGCAGGTACGAGGCATTCTCATGCAGATACTGAGAGAACTGCACACAGACACATCACACAGATACGTGCTCCACTTACATGAATCAGCAGATTCAACATTACATAAGCACTTTAATTCAACAATGAAGCATAATCAATACGTCCTGCACGGCTAACAGCTGCAGATTTAGCCTGAGTTCAGTCCTTAAAATATACTAGTATCTGTTTTCATGCTACCAGTACTTATTATTTTAGCTGCTAGTATCTATTCCATTAAGTACTAGCACTTATTCTTTATCTACTAGTCATTTAAAAAAAAAAAAAGTACTTATTCATTTTATAATAGTACTTATTAAATACTAGACCTTAATTATTAGATACTAGTTCTTATTCATTACACTAGTACTTTTTCTAATAGTGAATAGCAACTACTCTATTGCTGCTAGTAACACATTTCCAATTTTTGCCATTCCCTTCAATGGCGGGCAAAAGCCGATCACCATCTCCACGTGGTGCCCGCTGGACAACGACCTGAGGGAAGTTGACAAACCGTGACGGTCTCCAACGTCAGGTGGAACGACGCATCGGTTGGAGTATTTTTCGGTCGTATCAATGGCTACGCCTAGTCAAAATTTGGATCTGAACGCTAGGCTGTCCCCCGTAGGCGACGCGCGTCATCCTCACCCCAACAACATGAGAAATGTGCGAGGGTTCCCTGCCGATGGATGAAGCGGGCGAAAGATGAGAGTCCAAATACGAATTGCGACATTAAATGTTGGAACGATGACTGGAAAGAAGCCGAGAATTGGCCGAAGCTTTAAAAAACCGCCGCATCGACATCGCGTGCTTTCAAGAAACCAAATGGAAAGGAGCGAAGGCCAAGGAGGTCGGCGAAGGATACAAACTTTATTACAACGGCACTAGTAATAACCGAAATGGCGTTGGGATCGCTGTCAGCGAGAAACAGTGGGACAATGTCACCGAAGTCCACCGAATTTCCGATCGACTCATGGCCATCAAGATCGAATCGGGCAAGACGACTCTTTGAATGGTCTCCAGCTATGCCCCGCAGACCGGCTGCCCTGACAACGAGAAGAACGCTTTCTGGGAGAGCTTAGACACCCACCTCCAAACCATGGACCCCGACGACTTAAGACTGCTTTTGTGCTCCAGGGTCACACACTATTTTTTAATACAAAACATTTTCTTCGATCACAAATTATGTGAATTTTATCACAAAATTCAATCAATAAATCTGGTTTTGTGGCTCTGTAATGTGGCGTGGCAGATCACTATGGCAGCACATGAAGTCATTTTCAGTTTCAGTTTTCAGCTCAATTAAACCTTTATTTTGGTTTCTGTGTTTTGGTAAAAATGAATTTGGGTACATCACTTCATTAGCGGATCATGAAGTGAGCAGATGCAGTCAGTGCTGTACCTTCAGGTTGACGGGTGAGATGGCCTCGATGGATGAGTCCAGCGGATAGATGTGGACTCTCTGCTCCGTGTAGGAGTGAAAGTTCAGCAGAGCCGAGACCAGACTCTGCACAAACCCTAGAGCCTGAGCCGCCACGTCACGAGCCTTCAGCTGCACACACACACACACACACACACACACACACACATCTCTGTTTACATGGTAGATTCTTAATCAGAGTATTGTCTTAAGAGCCTTCAGCACACACACACACACACACACACACACATCTCTGTTTACATGGTAGATTCTTAATCAGAGTAATCAGAGTATCGTGTTAAAATCTGAATATTGTTGTCCATGTAAACGTGACAGCAGACAGCAGGAGCATCCCTCTCACCTGATGCCTTCTGTTGTGCAGAGGAACGTTCAGACTGTTGTAGTCACTCAGCTCTGCAGGAAACACAACACTCACAGTGACACACATGACTAAACATCAAACACGTGTGTGTGTGTGTGTGTGTGTGTGTGTGTGTGTGTGTTCTGACCGTCTGCGTGTGCTTATCCTCAGAC